GTCACCTTTGACTTCAACAGGCATTCTTAATCATAGGTCTCTTTCATAAATATAATCTAAATGCTATTTTGTAACACAACAACAACACCACCATTCACCACTAAGTGGCAGTGACATCACCATGGCGCTTGTGCCAGGCCAGGTGCACTCTGAGGCCACGTAAAGTGTCTAAGGCCCGCTGGCAGAAGGTCACGGGACAGACCCAGGAGTCGTGGATTGACTGACTGATATTATTGGCTGATGCACCACCTGTGCCCCCTACTGTGCCAACTTGTTATGTTTTAGCTACCCAGGGCTCTGCTCGTTTTTATGAGCATCACTCTTCTGCCCTCCATTGTTGCTGGTAGGCGACTGCCTCCAACTGCCCAGTAGCATCCTTCATGAGCCTCCTCCACAGAGGCCGATCTTGACACCACTGGTACCAGTCCTTGGCAAGTGCACTCAGCTCCACATCCTCTTGTACCACATGATTCCATCTATTCTCTAGTTCATGCCACACCCATTTAGCTCCTTCTATCTGGCCGAACAAAAGCTATTTAGGCATGTGGTGGCTGGGCATGCGGGCTACATGACCTAGCCAATGCAACCTTGCCTGCCTGAGGAGATTGATGGGATTTTGTCCAGATCTTTCAAGGATTTGTGAACTCCTCACACAATCCACCCTAGTTAAACCCAGGATGTGTAGTAGGCAGGCCAGTCTATATGTTTCTAACCAGCGAAGATGTTCCATTAGGGGGGCCACGTTTCACAAGCATAGAGAAGGAAGGGCATGATCATGGCCGAGAAGACCCAATGCTTCGTGTGTGGAGCAACAGAACAGGTAGCTTCCACACAGTGTTACACAGCCGATGAAAATATAATGCCACTCGACTGATTTGGAGTGAGATTTCTGCTGTCAAACCGGAGCTGGTTATGAGCACAGTGTCTAGGTATAGAAAACTCTCCACTCTTTCTCCAACTGCCCCACCACCAATGGATGGAGTGTTTGATTGCACAAATTGGTGGGGCTAATGATAAGGCCCCACTTGGTGGCACGTTCCAGGTTCAGCAGCAGCGCCTCCAACTCCTCCTCGGAGTGAGCAGCAATCACCAGATCATCAGCATAGATAACATGGTTGACAAATAGGGAGCCATCCCTCGACTGCACCCGAAAGGGTATCAATCAGCCTCCCATTGTATCTGTACCAAATGGAGATTCATTCGGTACAGCCATATAAGCCTTCACAAGCTTTGTGGTCGAAAAATATGTTAGATTCCAAAGAACACAGGATGAGATGTTACTATCCTTTGTGCAAGCACTTCCAAGAGTTCATGAACAGTGAGCCTGGTGAAATTTGGGGAGCGCATCGTCAGTAGTGACCCTTTGGTTCCTAGGGTGTTTCGGCCTTTCATACTATACACCCTCCCCAAAGGCGGCCAGCGACAGGGTGATCAATCCTACGCTTGCGTCCCATTCCCATATAGTCATAGGAGTTGCCTTGTTGTTGGTAGCCAACATCCCATGGGACTATGCATGGCAGGGGCGTCCTCCTCCCTGAGTCAAGCATTGTTGACTGCATACCTCCTGGCCCTCTCACTTTGGGGCCCAGCTGGGGTCTTTCCTCTTAAAGTGGAAGCCAGAGGACATCTCTGTGGCACGCCAAGGTGAACAGGGAATGGCTCCAACTTTATCCGGACCTGTTCGCCATCGTGAAGGTCCTTAATTTTTGTGAGCAGAGTCAGAGACTCCGAATGCACAAAGAACAACCCACAGCCCAGGCCTATTGATGGTATCATAGGCCATGACCAGGTCAATAAAGTAGAGATGTAGGTCCTGTTGGAATTCCCTACACCTCTGCTATAGCAGATAGACAGAAAATATGGCATCTGTTCAGATCTGCCCTGGCCTGAAACCACACACCTCTGATTAGCACAGTTGGCTTCATACGGTGCACAATAATTTCAACGTAATACCGCCATCTAGGAGAAATGGACGCCGTTAATTTGAATCCAGATCTGATCGGTAGAGCTAAATGCACTGCTGTTTTTTGTGGTGTAGAATGTCACGTAAAGATGCCGCTGATTATATATTTATAATTAATATAACAGCCAATATTTGATTAATTTTAGAAGTCTTACAATTCAGTGATTTTTCTTCTCAGCTGGGGCATGTGTCAGTGTGTTGCATATAGGTTCCATGGGAGCAACGGCAGCAGTGATTTTTGAAGACGCGCGTTGGTGTGTGGTTTGTGTTGCTGCTAATAAATGAACAAGTGATGTCAATGTTCAGTAATATCTGAGCCAGAAGTACTGGGCCTCCAGCAGCTTAGTTTCACTCAGCTATAAATTAGTTGCCGGTGTGGTATGTAAATATGACAACTTAGGGAAAGAATATGGCTCTACGTGCATGGTACGAGTTCCACTTCCCGCTTTTGTGTAAGGCAGACAATGGTGGCTAACATAACGTTTTCCTCAACAGCAGTCCATGAGGCTGTACACCGGAACCCTAGTCCGTTTTTCTGCATCCATGCAAAGACGCACACACACAAGGAAAGGACAGGCCACTAACACTGGTGTCGTATTAAATAAAGTCAGCACTGATCTCAGACAAGGGTATTAGCAGATGTTATTCGTAGACGCCAACGTTTTTCTTTTTACAGCTTAGCAGTGTGTGCCCTTCACAGCTGTACATATGCCCTTTCCTCATATAAAGTTGGGAGCATGGTATTTCAAAGGTAAATACGCTTTTGTGTTGACTTTGCTCTCTCAACAATCACTAGCTTTTATTTCAAAACATGACCACCTGTTTCAGTTTTCCACAGTAGTTGAGACTTAACCTGTGTTTATGTACTTGCATGATCATTGCGGAAACGTATATTTTCATCATGGGACGTTTTTTGCCAGGAACAATTAGAACATGTTTGACCCTTTCTAGCAATAAAACGGGTGTTAAGATGTTCAAACACAAAATAGAAACCTTTTGCAAGGAATAAAGTCTGTATTAACCACACGTTCCTGTAGTGAACATGCAAACAAACTCTGATGATATATCTATTGTCCTTGAAACTGATTGACCTACACCAAAGACACCCTTCTTTATGGCCTAGTCTCACCAGTGTCAGACAAGAGAACGCCAAAAGGCCAATTAGTTTCAAAGACAATGCACATATTTTCAGAGCATGTATTGTTTGCATGTTCACCACAAGTACGTGTGATTAATGCGGACTTGATTCCTTGCAAAAAAGGTCTCTATTTGGTGTTTGAACATCTTAACAACCGTTTTATTGCCAGAGACAGTAAAACCTATTCTTATTATTCACAACATACCGTGGCGGAAATTCCAAATGTCCTTAAGGGGCCAGACGATTAATTGGATTTACCACTATTGACTCGCCACTCAGAGGAACAGATTGTGTGGCGTCTACAGAGATGCAAGGTGGCCGGGTGGCTCAAGAGTGATGGGCTGGACATCGGTGAGCTCTCCTGGGTTCACATCCAGGCAGCTGGCTGTGCTTAAACTGGGTTCTTAACTGAGTTTATTTTTACTCGGTTCTTACGTTGGAGGATTGTCTCAGCCCCATCACCAATGACTGCACAAACAGAATCTACGTTGCGTTGAGTTTGTTTCTCCACCTGAATGTTGCTCATTTCCAGTTCTGTAATAAACCCACGACTGGAAATGGCAAGACATTTGCCAGGGGAACTCATCAATAGTTCCCCCCCACCCCCACTAGGTCTGAGGAGGGGGAGGTTGAGCTTCGCTCTATGTGTGTGTCTCTGTGCATGTCCGTGGGTCTCTCTGTTACTCATGGGGTCCATCTGTGAGTTAAATATATATATTTTTATGAATCCTTAATGCCTTCCGGAATGCAGTCGGGTTAAAATTGTCACTCCCACCACGGCTTTCTGGGGTATTCCGGCCTATTTCCACCACTGAAAAAACTACTCTCTATATATATTTGACTTTAATGTCAAGAATATTACGATGTGAACCGGAGGTCACTTTGTGATATCTGCTTCTGTGGGCCGTTCTCTAATGCAGATGTTGGCACTGCTGTGTTGCGAGAGGTCCGTAAGGACTCTTTGTCTCATGATCAGACGCTGATGGGGAGGGAAAAGGATGAAAACACTCACAAGACGACACTGGAGAGATTATACACTGGTGGGATTTTAACTCACAACCTTTGGATCATGGATCAAGTATTGATAATGGATCAAACGTTAGAACCATAGGTTACAACTCTGGAGAGATGATTGCTCATTCTTGCATATGGTAAACTAGCTTTACTACCCGGCTTCGCCCGAGACTTGGATTCTTGTCTTGGATTAATACACGGCCTACGCAGATGGTGGGGGGGGGGGGGATGCGTGACGTCAGCAGGCACACTGCGTAACGCTGCCGCATGCGGGTGACATCACTGATGTGACGTCACCGCTCACTTGCCGTGCAAAATATATTCATTATTGCGCCCCCCCCCCCCCCCCCAAAATACAAAAGTAAATGTTTATACTGTTTACATTGTGTACAGTCTGTAAGCTACCCACATGCCAAATTTCAAGTTTGTTGCATGTTGGGAAGTATGCTAGACATTTCGAACAGACACACATCCATAAATTTCCCTTTTATATCTATAGATTTTCAGGAGCTGAATACCAATGTCGAGGTCTACTAGCCATGATAAAATGGCAAAATGGCTCCATGAGAGAGTCAGTGTAGTTTTGCTGCTATTCTGCCTCCGTTGCAGGAGTGCAGGCTACAGCGATGCGCTATATGCTCCGTGGTTTGGGGTTGCACGTCCACAATCGCACAACTGTGGCTTGTCTTTAACTTTCAACTCATGAAGATGTGTGGATTGGCCTGTTGATGGGAACTCTGGAGAGATAGTTAAAACTCTTGCCACCTGGCCAAGACTGTTAATTTTGAATGCATGGATTATACACATGCGTCTGTGTCAATCACTAAATTCATGGGGCTATAACAAGTATCATTTTTGTTGTTGTTGTTGTTGTTGTTTTTGCAGCCCAGACATGTGGCGCCAATGTGTTTGGTCCCAGTGGAACCATCATGTCTCCAAACTTCCCGGGTTTCTATGAAGGAAATTCCCACTGCGTCTGGATCATCACGGCAGTCAATCCCAATAAGGTGAGATGCCATACGATATTGGGTGGTTTTGTTTACTGTCATTAGACGAGATAGATAGACAAGAATCATACAATGATAGATGGATTTCTTACTTGTTTATTTATTTATTTAAGAAAACATATTTCTCAATTTCCCCTGACCTGCGAGACGGCAGAAAATGGTTTTAGACAGTTTTCCTGTACTCTATAAATATCACTTGCGTTAGTGGATGGCTCTTGCCCATAATATCTTACGCATTTTTGGAACGGCCCACACCCTTCTGATGAGGCTCAAAGATGTCAAAACCAGATTGGTCCAGAAGGCCTCATGGTCAATGGACTTGCGTGTCATTTGAATGCGGTGATTTGTGATTCACTTGTTACGTACAATCATCAAAGGTAAAGCATTTAATGTCATACTATATAGACTTTATTTGTAAGAGGTCGAGGTGGCTGGGTAGTCAAGGATCTCACAGAACCTTTTACAGCATTTATCTGACAAGCCTGCGATTCTTGATTCAAATCCAGGTGATTTAACTAGGTTTTCAATTGTTGCAAACTTGATTTTACCTTTTTGCTTGTTTTATCAAGGAATTGTCTCACCGAGTCTAAAGACGTTCATGGAGCGTCCTGACAAGTTTTCAAAAGTAGGGGGCGATGTTGCTGCTTGTAAATCTATTTGAGTAATTTACAGGTGATGTTTCATTCCCCGTTGGGCTGTTTGGCCAATTCCAGTTTGAGTTTATTCTGATTTGTTACAAGGACGATCCTGTTATGTCGGTTGCCTGGCTATTTTACACGAGAGGTCCATGGTGTGTGAGCACAGCCACAACAGTCTGTCTCACACAATGAGACAGACTGTTCCTAGGATTGTGGCATTTTCACCTCTGGCTCAGGGGTATGTAAGTTGAACTTCTTCCGCACCGTACGAAGCCAACTGTGCTAATCGGACGTGCCGGGGAAGGACAACAAACTAAACACAAAAAGCAGTTCTAAGGAAATTCGTTTTCAATCTATATTTAAAAGTGCATAGCTCCAGTGGCTTCTTAATGGGGGGGGGGGGGGGGGGGGGGGGGCAATTGATACGGGTGCTGCCCCATCGCTCGTGTTGGTGGGGAGACTCTCATTTTGTTTGTGTCTCCGTGTGCCCGGCAGGTGATGCAGGTCAAGTTTGAGGAGTTTGACCTTGAGCGGGGCTACGACACGGTCATGGTCGGGGATGGAGACGAGCCAGGAGATCCCCGCTCCGTCCTGCATGTGTAAGCAAAGACCTGATTCTTGTTCACACATCGTGCAAATAGCAGATGCCCGCACAAACCAAACGTCACGTAAGGAGGTGTCCGGGTGGTTCAGAGGTCCGAGCACTGAGCTGGCAACCGCTCAGATTATAGATTCAAAACAAGGCAGCTGCTGGTTATTAAACCGGCTTCTCTTGTGTAGTTGATGGTTGCAAGCCTGGTCATTAATCAATGCACAAATTAAAAACAATACATTGCATTAAATTATGTCCTGCACTCAATTTGGCTAAATTCCAGCTGTAAGAGTGAAAAATAATGGTTTGACTGGCAAGCGACGGATATTTATCTTGTGAGGTAGAACGAACGGGAGATTGCTATCCCTTACTGTGTGGGACTGTATGTCATAATATAGGTTTTGGGTTTTGGATCAGATCGCGTTATTTATAAATGTGTCGTAACCCTCCACCTCCCGACACGGCCAAACAGTAAAAAATTTGTCACGTTTTTCAAAGGACGAAATAATTCACTTCTTTAGTCCGCCGGTGTGTTGAAGAGAGAATAAACAGCATTTTAAAAATTTGACTGTAGGTCACTTGCAGGGATCTCAGAGGTCGTAGCTCTGCGATATCCACTTCTGCGGGCAGTTCTCTAGCAAGCAGGGTTGCTCTGCTGCTCTGCGAGAGATTCAAATAGAATGTGTCTCTTGATGTGACTCCTATCATTCAATACAGATAAAACACTGAGGATGGGGGGGGAATTAAAAGTAAAAAAAATATTACTTTTTGCACGCAACAGCACATGTCCAGGATACAGTGCTATGGAAATGGGGTTGGTGGCTTACGCAGAGATTTTCACATGTTTTAGATGCTCACCTAAATGGGTAATCAGGCGGTAGAAAAAGTGGGTTTGTTGACCAATCCATCCAACTTGTTGAGTGTTTTTCAGTTTTACACTATGTGGGGTCTCCCTTGACAGTTTATTCTTCTCCCACGTGCAAAAGAGAATCCATGCACTCATTCTGGACAACTTGTGAGATATTCGCGGATAAATAGGAAGACTTATTTGATCAACCGTTACAGTTTGACCGATGGTAACAGTGAATTGGGGTTCGTAGAGGCAGGTAAAAACGTGTTATCGCTCGAGCAGGGCTGATTTTCATGGCTGAATAATTCACTTTGGAAAACAAACAAACAACAAACTAAAACTTAAATTACATTTTTAAGAAACAAGTGTTTTAGCCGGCAGAAATGTATTTCTTTATAATAGAAAAAGTTCGGAAAAAACTTTTACTGACTATATAAATTAACGTTGAACATGCCTGGAATTTCACGGCTTGATTACGTAAGAAAAGTAAGGAGGTGTGATGGGTGGGACACACGTGCAGGATGGAGGAGGGCGCAGGTTTCTAACGTGGCCATTAGGGTGGCACCGAGAGGTTGGTGACTGAGTAGAAGACTTAAAGCCAGATGGTGAGATATGGCAAGGACAGACCTCGTAGGTCATATATTGACTACAACGGCTACCGGATGTGTCAGAAGGAAGCATTGTTGTGGTGTGTTGTTATCAGCGGTATTAACTACGATGCCCTTTGGGTGATAGTGTCTTCTTTATGGAAAGTAAAATCTAATAGATTTTCACTTAGCCAAATGTTACACAAAGACAGTATTTTGGTATAGTCTGACATTATCAGAGCAAGGATTGCAAAGGCAACAGGAGTAATGACAGGATTCAATAACATCTTAAGAAGCAAGCAAATCGGCTGTAGGACCAAACTGAACATATTAAGAGCATGCGTGTTCAGTACAGCTTTCTATGCCTGTGAGACGTGGGCATTGAAAAAGACTGACAGAGATAAGATATTGGCTCTAGAAATGTATTTATGACCCTTGGGCTACACCCATTCCAAACCTTTAAAACAGCCTGCCTCAGCAGCTTACCCGCTCTTTTTTCTCCTGATGACGATTGCTTGTGGTGCAGTCGAAACGTCGTAGTTTTTTTGTTATTTTTGTTATTTTCTTTGAACCTATCTACGTGACTTTACCGAAAGACCCAATAATATGAATTCCTGCAGTCACGAAAGCTTTACGTCAAGATTCTATCTCACCGTAGTTTTTCACCGTACTTAGCCAACCGCGCTAATCGGATCTGCGACATTTTTGCCTCATTAAAGCATGACAGTTATATTCCTTTTGTTGAAATTGGCCTCAGCAATGCATTGCCAAGGGGTTGTGCCTTGTTTGTCCTCACCAGAAATAAAAACATTACCCGCTGTGCCAGCAACATTTGATATTTTAGCTTTTAATATATAAGAGTTTACTTAGTAGTATCTTTGATAATTATTGAAGGGTTTGTCTGGCATTCAGTAGCTACTATTAGGCAACCATTCATATGCCTATTTAAAAGCTTGTGATCATAAAAATAAAAAATATATATGATTTTCTTCAGACCCCATGGTGTTGTTAGATGCATTTTCCAACCCTTGTTAACTCCAACCCTCTCAGTGTATGCACTATGAAGAAGGGTAATTTCCCAAAATGCCGCAAGTTATACATTTTTTTTCCTCAAAAGGCATGTTTGTTGAGTTTGTTTATATATTTTTTGTAATATCAGGCAATATTCACATATTCTGCAGGCACATTGGTACAACATATCATATAGAGTCACTGTTGCAGTTGGTGAGTTCCAAGTTTACAAACATAGCCCACCTCCCCCCATCAATATACGAGTTTCACGGAGGTGGAGCGCAGGCAATGGGGATCGGTGGAGCAGGGAAGATTGGGGAATATTTGGAATGGTGTATGGGTCTGAAGACCTTTTGAGATTAAACTGTTGGTCTCTTAATGTCCATGTGCATGTTGTGGCTGTGAGCAGAATTGGCACTCATGTGTGATGGTGTTCTGCTTTGTGTGTATACGAGGAATATGGAGTGTTTAATACTGTGTGTGTAGCATATATCTCTTGTATAACAGCCGTAAACACTGCTTATATTATACCAGATGTCAGGCTGGATGGTAGCGCTCAACTCGCAATCAAAGGGGGGTGACAAATTGAAATGCCACTCAAGGGGTCTGCTCTGCCCACTGCCAGTCTGGGCTTAGTATCACCATGATCGATGTCTACTGTGGTTGTCCTCTGGCACATTCCCTCCATGGGAATGTGGAATTTCCAACGCTGACCGAGGGGTCTCCAGTAGAGGCGAGTGCCATCCCACGGTTGTACGTTTGAGCAGTAAAGACCCATGGCAACTTTGTTGTCACTCTCAACGCAAAGATGAGATGACCGCCATAATCTCACCTGCTAAGATCTATCCACTGCTGGATGAATGCTTCACCAAGCTGTCCGGCACATCTCAGTGCAAAGCTCCCTTTGGCTTCTGCGCATGCGATGATTTCATCACTCCATTTCCACTGTCGATGGACTCTCAAGTGAGTTTCCTCCCTTGGCTGCCACTCTCATAATTTCAATGCCATATAATGATTGTCTTAGTTAAAAACAAACAAATAATAATTAACAAAATATATCTTCTTGGTTCTTTCGGTAAAGTCATGTAGAAGGGAAATAATAAAATATAAAAAATAAAACATAATTTTATTATTATTTTATTATTTCCCTTCTATGTGACTTTACCGAAAGAACCAAGAAGATGAATCCCTGCAGTCACGAAAGCTTTAAATCGAAATTTAACAAAATATGATTTCATAATGTATAAATCGTTTGTGCATGTTTAATTGTTGGTCTAAAGCTACATCTGTGTAATAAAAGGACTCAGACACTTCTTGCTGACTCCGTGTCCTTTATTTGGGGTTCGCGTTCTCCTTCCCACACGGCACTCCTCCTGAGACTCTCTCCCTGGCAGCCCCACATCTGCCTTCGCTCCCGTAGCCTTCCACGCTCCTGCAGCTCCGCTGCAGGCTCTTGGTGCAGCCCTCTGGCTGCTCCCACAGCAGCTCCATCGCTGCTCCCTGTTCCTCCGTGCGTGGCGATCTCGCCACCTCCCAACGTCAGCCCTCCGTGGCCTCTATGGCTATCTCGCCATTTCCTACCTCAGCCCTTCGTGGCCTCTGTGGCTATCTCGCCACTTCCTACCTCAGCCCTTCGTGGCCTCTGTGGCTATCTCGCCACTTCCTACCTCAGCCCTTCGTGGCCTCTGTGGCTATCTCGCCATCTCCAACCTCAATCCTCCACTCTCTCTTCCACCCCGCTGGCTGGCGCCGTCATGAGCCCCTCAGCCACCAGGCTGAGGCACGGCGACCACCCAACGTGTTCACCACCCTTCACTCCCCCGACTGACCCAGATAGCTTCCTGTCTCCCCGCTATAACTTCTCCCCCACGTCACCCTGACTCCTCCCTCTTGGATCGTCATATCCGCCCCGCCCATTTACGCCCGCATTACACTACCCTCCCCCGTAGAGAAAATTCCAGCCGTCCTCGGCTGAAACAGAACAAAATAATGCGGGCGAAGGCATCACAATCAGGAGTCCCCCAGACAACGGAGATTATAAAAACAACACAAGCAACGAAAGGGGAGGTATCAGGAACTGGAACAGAACACCGGCCTGTCCTCCGCGCAACAACAACAAGAATAAGAATGGCACAATGAACAACAACGGCAACTGACACGCAAGAACGGCCAACGCGCACAACCCAGAAATGTGATGTTTTAGTGCGTGTCCATGTTGCAGTTCCATCCGCTCGGCTCAAGTCCAACGTCAAAGAGAAAGTGGTAGAGCAGAACGACGAACGGCGCTCAATTGCTCCTTCAAGTCCTCATCCAGCTAGCACACCAGGTAACACCCAGTGCGACGGGAGCTGAAGAATCTGTGACGAGAAGGAGAATCCAATCCCCTGAGGCACAGCACAACAACGCACATCCGCATGTCGTACACGACAGCCACCCGGCCTCAGGGTAGTGGAGATGATGTAAATCCAGCCCGCTTAAAAAAAAACTCCCCATAAATACCCAAAATAACGCAATGGATGCCCCAGTATTTACATTTTAACAACAATATTATTTACACGT